AGAACTCTCTATAGCTCATACATACACCATATGTTACTTCAATGTCGTGGCACATCATCAATACTTGAAAATTTTTCAACAATGTGAGATGAACGTATAGTCTAGTATAAAAGCCTTTACATGTATATGATCATGATGCCATAACATATGTATATCATGCTCAAATCTCAATTTTCATGATCAACCATATTTATTTTCAAATCCCATGGTTTATCACAATTATATCCAGGTGAATTGCTAAGTCAATGTATCTCTCAGTGGTCATTGCTAAACATATTGGCGACTCCACATGGATGACCCCATCATGCTATCATAGATCTTCAAAAAAAAAAAAAAAAATTATAATGTTAATATTTTACTTCATGTAGTTTAATTTCATTAAAAAATAAAGGGACACATCAAATAATGATCCACACTTATTAAAGATCTATTGTTTGATAAGTTCAAATCACTCTATTTGATTAATTGTTTATAAAAATAATTTTTGAATTTTTTCTTAAATTTTTTCACAAATATTTTATATTTTAAGTATATAAAAAAAATTCATAACGACAATAAAACACCAAGAATAAAAAATCGAAACTTGTGAAGTGACCCCATCTATAAAAATTATTAGAGTCGCCACTAGTTGAACACCACCTAAACATCTTTACTTTATTGGTGGTTAACCAAAAGGACAAATGGGTATCCACTCTGCGCGAATTTTAAGTCTTTCACTGTATCTTTTGCCAACTTAATCTCATTTATATAAGTTACCCAGATTCACCGTTATTACACAAGTCAAAACAAAGGGGTTTTCACTTCATGATGCAACTCATGCATTGCCAAATCAACATTTCGTATTCAACAATACTACCTTTCATCAACAGGATTTCAAATCCCAGGAATTCAACAATTCAATTTATATTAAAATGAGTTTCAATTCATCATAGGTTGATGGTTTCTACAATAATGCAATTTTCCACCAATCACCGACAATTATAATCTCTATAATATGCACTAAATCAAATTTGAAGATATCTCATTTCAATTTTAAAGGTAGAAACAACATTTCCAACAGTAACGTAATTTCTCAAATTTAGGGTTTCAACAAAATTGTTGTTTTCTTAATTTTATGCTTCTATATGCTACAATATTAAGAAAAATACATTTAGTATGAAAAATATTGAGACAAAACCAATACTCTCAAATCATAAATCTCTACAATGCAATTTTTTTAAATCTCTACACATTTCTCAATTTAGTGTAAGGAACATATTCAAATATAAACTCATATTGAGTAGATTAAAGAAATCCTTACATCAAATAGTGGAGAGGAGTAACATTAGGTTTTGAATGTAGATGAAATGGGAATCACCTCTAATAGATAGTTTAAGATCAACTCAAACTTTAAAGCCTTAAATCTTAAGCTTTAATGGTGGAGTAATGGTAGAGAGAGAAAAAATAGAGAGAAGAGAGGAAGAAATGAGATAACAAAGAGAGACAAAGTGTTTTAATGAAATATCTATGTCAAAGAGATCGATCACAACATTGATCTTACTAAAGAGCGATCGATCAAACAATGATTGCTAGCTACTGAATGGAAATTTAAAATCTGACTTTGTGAAGCGATTGGCGATCGATCTCACAATGACCGCCAACTATTGAAAGACACACAAAATCAATACAAACGAAGCGATCAATCGCCCAATGGGCTATGAATTTTTAACCAAGAAAATCACATTTTTACTCTCAAATTCACAATAACAAACTCCAAATTCACCTCCACAAATTTTAGAATAATTCTATTGCGTTAACTACATCAACAATAATCACGATAACAACATAGACAACACGGTATAATCACCAAAGTAAAGTAATCATACCCAACATCAAACAAATATAGATAAATGGATCGGGTTCAAACTCTATAGAGGGTTAGAAATTAAGCCCCAAACTAAGTATGGGCCTAAGAACTGAGGTTGCCCCAAAGAGGCGACCAAGAATGAAAAAGAAGCGTGGGCAAAAGCCCAAGGGAAGTGGGCCAACAGTGAGCTGAAGCAGGTTCGACCCACCAGGGGTCCAAATGGACTCCACGAAGGAAAATGCCTAAGTCAAGTTGCAGAGGCAACACCTGCAGCGGTGAAATTACGAAGGGAACATGTGCAGCGACAAAATTGCTGAAGCACTTTGTCTCAGCACCGCCATTCCAAGTATCTTCGGTGCCGCCACCATTCCAAGTAATGTCGATACCACAACCATCTGGAGTTGCTGAGGAAAGGAGAAAATCGAAGCAACTAAGTTGCAGAGGCAGTACTTGCAGCGCCTAAGCTGCGGAGGCATTCTGTCGGCGCCACTATCTCTAATATCTTCGGTCTTGCCGTCTAAACTTGCCGCAGGAAATGACTACCGCAACAACTACAACCGCAGCAACTAAGTTGCAAAGGGAATATTTTGCCAAGGTGATAGCAGCCTTTGAGAGACGCCTCCCTCTGCAAGTATAGGCTAATGCTTGGCACTGATAGTAGGCCCCAAGGCATTACTAGGCTAGGGCTAATAGCAAGCCCCAAAGTTTATATAACTTGGCGTTGATAGTAGGCCCCAAGACTTACTGGTTGGAGTTAATAGCAGGCCTAGAGATACCGGTTTACCTCGGGGATCTCGGGAATATGCGAGCAGGGTAACCCGAGCATCAGAGACTCCCTTTCCATTACCTAGGTCATGGACCTGCCTTAGTCACACAAGCAGGACTAAGGAAGCCCCCTTGGGCTTGGTACTAAGGCACAACATGGCTAATAGCAGGCTTGGCTGTGGCCTTCGCCCTAGGAAGCTGGAGAGTTTGTGGTTAGGTGGCTAAGGGCGGAGGCTTCGCTGAGGTGAACACGAACATAGTCGATAGGAGGCTAATGAAGTCCCAAGAATGCATGTACTGGCCAAATAGAACTAAAAAGGCAAGTGCAGCGGTAAGATTCACCGCTGCAAGTGCACTTGCTGAGGTTCAAGCTGAGAAGGCAAGTGCAGAGGCAAACACTCCCACTGCAACTGCACTCGCTGAGGCTCAAAAGGGAGTTACAGCGCCAAACACTCCCGTTATAACTACACTTGTTGAGGCACAAAAAAGGTAGTTATAGAGGCAAGCAGATAACACACAGTATATATAAAGGGACACGTGGCACCTTCAGCCTGGTGGCTCAAGGCAAAATATTCCATGTGATCCTCTAGAACACATGTCTTCTCTCTATTTGGCAACTTGGTGTCCTTTTGGCACTAAGGAAAAGCCTATAAATAGGACCCATTTCCTAAGGTTCAACAAGAGGAATTTTGGAGATTTGAAGGAGATACTGCCCATTTTGGCACTGCCATACACTTCTCCTTGAGCTACTTGCTTCACCCTTTCCCAGCTACATACTCTCTCCAACTTCCAGATAGTTGTTGCTACTCATTCTCCATCCATTTCCACCATTGTTGGACCATTAACATAGTTTTGCCTCTCTAATAACTTCTCTAACCTTGAACCCCTCTACAAACTCGAAGTGTTACATCGCCCTCATGGGCATTACTTAATTGTGTATTACTTATAAATAAAAATTTGGTAAATTACACCCACATCTCATGGAGTTTATTTATAATACAAATTCTCCTTGAGGTTTTAGAAATTACGTTGACCCAAAAAATGTACAATGACCTAAATACCCTCAATTAATAATTTGGATTTACCAAGTTTCCCTATTTTCTTGAACCCTTCTACCTTAAACACCACCGCCAACAATTTACCTTTCTTTTTACCCTCTATTCTTGAGCACCACTCCCAGCTTTCTATCTTCCATTTCACCTTGTGTTCTTGAGCACCACCCTCAACCTTCCCTTACTATTCCTCAACCACCACATCTTATAGTAACTACGCCAACACTCTACCTCATTGAGTCATCCATCAACCTATTTTTTGAGAACACAATTCTAGCCCTAACAGCCTCCATAATGACCTTTTCTACCGTTGCCACCTCTAAACTTCTCACCACTACCATACCACATAGCCCCTCCTCCCCAACCACCATTGCTATTAATAAAAAAATACAAGCAAATAATTCAAAACCATTTAAGCTTTAACTTACTAAGCCAATTCATCAAACAAATTGCAACCATATCAAGAAAATAAAGAACAAAATTAGTAAATACCATAACCATTTTACAAGAAAAAAAAATAAGAGAAAGAAAAAAAAAATTAAAATCAAGATAAAAAATTAAACAAAATCAAGACTAAAACCAGTAAAACCTATGGCCAGAACCATCTGCCACCATTATGCATGTTCTTTAATTTTGTCAATCATCTGCCACAATTGGCGATCACCATCTTTAGTGATAAATATCCATTTCCATCATTCTTTCATTTTGTCTAAAATCAATACAAACTCAGCACTTATCATTTTACTATTGTAGACCCAAATCTAGTTCTCTTTATTGCGGATCCACTACATTTATTATTATAGATCGACATCTAATCAATTCGGTTCATGGTGTTAAAAATTGATTTGGAGAGGCACATGATCAAAGACAATGATTTGGTTGTAGTTCTCAAGTTATTGTAATGGCGTAAAAGTAAGAGTGAAGAACGATAACGATAGTGGCATGAGAGTTAGAGATAAGATATGAAACAATGATGGAAGTAATGTGGTATCTGTTCTTAATCTTAGACATTGATGATGAGAGAAACAAGGAAGAGATATATAGTAGAAGGCTAAATTTGGTATTTTTCAAAAAATAAATAGCTAAAATTATAATTTTCTATTAATTAACCTAATGATTAACTAACATGGGAAAAATGTTAAGCAATTGAAAATCAAAGGAAGGGAATGGTAATTTCCAAAACTTCACAGAGGAATTATATTAAAAGTAAATCTAAGGAGGTGGTGAATGTAATTTACTTATAAACAAAAAGATCATACTTGAGGTGTAAAAATGTAATTAAACCTATGTTTATGGGGGAAAGGTAGCACATAGAAAAGAAAGACCCCCCCAACTTGTGAAATTCCCCATCGGATGCCAAACTGGTTAAAATTCGTAGTAAGATCCTGTCTCCGCGCGGTTCCGACTGATTTTCTTCTATTCCCACTCTACCTCTCTCTGCATCTTATGACATAGACACATATTCATTCTTTTATTAGATTATTATATAAATAAAAACTGCTCTTTATTGAAGTCGGTCGGTCGCTGTGTGGTAAGAGAGAGAGAGAGAGAGAGAGAGAGAGAAGAGCTAATTTGGATTTGGGATAGTGGATTTTGGGTATTCGATTGATTGATTGGTTGGTCGATGGCTGCGAGCTCAAACCCTCCAGGGAACAACAACCAAGAGGGTTCGGGTAATGGAAATGGCGCCACCAATAACGGCAGTTCAGTACTCCACGACAACGCTGTCGTGGGTCCCACCCAGGCGGCTCTCCGCCACAACCCTGGTCTCGCCGTCGAATGGACTTCCGACGAGCAGTCCCTCTTGGAGGACTTGCTCACCAAGTCAGTAATTCTACCCTCTCTCTCTCTCTCTCCCTCTCTCTCTCTTGTATTTATGTATGTTCCAACATGTATTTTTTAAAATTTGGTGTTAATATCTCCTGAATTGTGAATTCTTTAAAGGGTTTGTGTTTTTTGGTGGTTTTTTTTTTTTGGGTATGTTGCCTGGGTTTCCTCTGTTTCGTCTATTAAAAATGGAAAATGATTGGCAAACATGTTTTATTGAGAGAAAACACATATTCTGATGTGCGTCGATGACTTTTTTTTGGGAATTCTGTATAGAAAGACACACCATTCTGTGTAGAAATACAAAAATTATGTACAGGATTTCTGTTGTGTATTCTTTTCATTTAAAGTTTTAAGATGTGGAATTGAGGGTGAGTCTGTGTGTTTCATTCTGTATAGAAATACAGAAATTCTGTAAAAGAATTCTGGTGTATATCATTACTCATTCAAAATTTGAACCCCGTGGAATTGAGGGTGAATCAGCGTGTGTAATTGTGAGTTCACTAAGTTTCATTGTATATAAGAAATCGTTTGGAGTTGGTACAAAATTTCTCCGTCCATTGTTTCATTCAGTAATTGTTCAGCTTTTGTTCCCAATATCAAAGCATGCCAGTACATATGTATATATGCATATACTAGAGGTGGGCACACACTGAGCATGTGTAATTTGTAATTGCATATGATAACTATGATATTGAAGCAATTACATCTAAGAAGCAGTTGGATTGGATCTAAGAAAATAAGTTTAGAATGATTACCGTAGTTGGGGGCATTTTGGAAAATAGTAAAACTGTATCACGATAGGCAACACCAACTCCAGTGTTCATTTTATATATTTAGAGCAATTACCATAGTTGGGGCATTTTGAGAAATAAAACAGTCAACACCAACTCCAGTCTTCATTTTATATTATTGTAGATACTATGCAAGTGGATGTGGATAGATGTGTCCAGATCTCCATGGCATGATACGTCGTTAACATGATGTCACCACATCATCATATCCACATAATTCTTGTGTCAACCCATGTGGTGACATGTGGATCAATTGTGAATCATACCCACTCGCAAAGACATGCTCATACCCTCAGCTCAATTTAGCACCTGGGCGTAACCCTTTTATGGTTCTTCAATTGAACCCTAATGCTCCTATGCCAACTTAGGTTGGGAGCAGGGCTTACGGACTCTTAGGGGGGTTCAGCGAGGCACTTTTCTGCTACCTCAAGGGGCTTTCACGTTGACCAATTTTAGGGAGAGACATCCACGAGAAGAATAATTAGGGCCATGATAAGGACACGTCGTATGCTTTGTCCTTCTCCATACTTGAGGAGCACACCCAACCACTGTTGCAACCATTACAACCTCTGAGTATTTTGGTGCTACCACCACTAAATGGCCTTTACCTCTAGGGTTATTGGCCAAGGAGGGCAAACTTCTTATCCTCTTGCTTTCACCTGAGTACGTGATAATTGACGATGTGCCTTATGGTGGGCTAACCTCCAAGACCTACCCCTCCAATAGATAGGTCACCACCTCCATGCACGGGTGGAGGGAAGGAGGTCTTGGCTGGCTGGTCCCTCCAAAATTTTGAGAAAGCCCACTCTGAAATGAGGGCATCCCTCCAAAATAAGGGCATCCCTCCAAACTATATATATAAAAATTATGGATATAGCCCACTCTACATATGGACTACACTTCAAAATTAATACCTCATGTAACGGCCACCCCGAAACTCAATCCAACCTCATGTCAAAAAACCATTGGTTACATTTTAAACAACATTGTAAAAAGTAATGAATATGGCCTACTTGATTGGTGTGAAATCATATTGAACAACTTTTGTGTGGCTAAAGTAGTGAAATTCTGCTAAAGAAAAGAGATTGATTTCTTATGTGGGTTCTAATAGTTTTTTCAATTGGATCACTTGTGAAGCGTACCAGAGCTTTATAGGCTTATCAGTGATATTTCAAATAATTACATAGGCTTATAACTTGTAAGTTAATAACCTGTCTAATAATTGGTCTCCTATAGTTTTTGATTGGGCCAATTGTTTTATTAAGTAATATTTAATAACTATATTAACTGTTTAAATCTATCTCGACCCACTGTCCATCTGGTGGGATTTGTCCTGTGCCTTAATTCTGTTTTTTCAGTGCCCCCAATGTTGGAGTCCTGGTTTTACCCCCATCCATGCAAGCATGCACAGTGCCTTTCTTCTAATGAAGTATAGAGAATCTAGTTCTCTACTGCCATCCGTTTAAGTCTTCCTCAACTCTCCTATTTTTGGTGGTTTCTTGCCATCTCAGTGTGTACCATAACTTCTAGAGGGTTATGTTGGGATTTATACCACATCCCACCGACGCGGACGGAAGCACACCCATGCACACACCAAAGAGGGAAAAAAAAATCTCACACAAATTTACTTGATTCGGCCCAAATTGCCTATATTCATGGGAGAGAGTTGCCACTATGAATAAATTAGGGAATACATGTGAGATGGCCAAAGCACTCAAAACTTACACCACTTCCTAAACCCAATGCTAAAGGGTAGTTGAGCCCTTACTCAACCGGTGCCCACGGTATTTTTTCTCACTCATTACATCTCTATTTTTTCCCTTATCTCAATCTCTCTCAAGAGAACCCTATAACCCACATGACTATTTATAATAGTCTACCCATGAAAATCCTAGTTCCATACAATTAGGTAACTAAATCCTATATATATATTAGGTTTCCCAGTAGATTCCGGATTTTACTATCCTAACCCAAATACATATATAAACTAACCTAATAATTATATGGGACCCATCTTTATCACATGGGTGGACTAATCTTAACAATCACCCCCTCCCCCTATGTGGGGTAAATGTTATATGCATCCTTTAACCTGAATATCCTAGTTTGTGTGATACACTTCATCTTCACCTAGAAGATGTTTCACACCCTTGAACAGAGTGCCATGCTATTTGTGCCTCACGCTATAATGCCCAAATGTGTTATTTGTAGCTTTCTCTATCCTCATACTCATACCCATGAGAACTGTCGCACCTTCATAAGATGTATCCACTGCCACGAACCAAAATCTTCATAGAAAAGAGACCCTTCCCCCTTGGTGTACACTATCTTGTCGCAAAACCATCTTAAGTTCTATGCCTAAAGCTTCATTTTGTGAAAATCCATCAACCTGTTGTCTCCCTCTTGGTGGCCAGTATCTTTTGCAACTGTTGCTCACACTATTCACCCATGACTTGTACTACTCACCTGATGCTTGACAAGAGCTTCTCTCTTGTCACAACATACTCTACGACCCTGTACAAGTTGCCAACCAACTGCCCATTAGTGATTGATCTTCCACCATTGATTGAACCAGATTGCTCTTGGATCACCTAGATCACTTGCAATCACCTTTGATCGCTCTTGAATCTATTCAATCCATTTAAACCTGTTCAGAATTTGAAAATTCTAACCATACCGATGAATCCGCAATGACTGAAAAACTTTGGAAACTACTCACGTAGAATATTTCTATTATATATATACACATCGATATAATAGAAATATTCTAAACGTTGATTTTAGATTTTGTCACACAAGATAATAACCCTTTGATAAGCGAAAGCCACAAAACCAAATCCTCAATTGTTCACTCCATTATGAACTGTGTTCCAATTAATTGATGCCTCCACCATGTTGCCTTCATTCAATTTTGATTTTTGTTTTCTTGTACCATTGGGATTTTATTCTCTTCTGTGCAAGTCCTTTTTGTATAGTAACCGCATGCTCTGCCAAGCCCACCTAGGATCGGTAACCTTTAGCTCTAATATCACTTGTTGGGATTAATATCACATCCCACCAATGCGAACGAAAACAAACCCATGCACACACCAAAGAGAAAAAATAATCACACAGATTTACGTGGTTCAGTCCAAATTGCCTACATCCACGAGAGAGAGTTTCCACTATGAATAAAATAGAGAATACATGTGAGATGGCCAAAGCACTCAAAACTTACACCACTATCCAAACCCCATGCTTAAGGTTAGTTGAGTCCTTGCTCATCTGGTGCCTACGGTATTTTTCTCTCACCCCTTACATCTCTATTTTTTTCCCTCAAGTCAATCTCTCTCAAGAGAACTCTATAGTCCACATGGCTATTTATAATAGTCTACCAATGAAAATCCTAGTTTTATACAATTAGGTAACCAAATCCTACATATATTAGGTTTTTCAGTAGATTTCGGATTATACTATCCTAACCCAATACATGTATAAACCAACCTCATAATTATATGGGACCAACCTTTATCATATGAGTGGACTAATACTAATCGGTTCCACTACCACCTGACTCACTCGCCGCCATCCACAATATTAAACTATGAATGTATTTGAATGTTGTGTAAAATGGGACCAATAAGTTCCATTATTAAAAAATTTCTAGAACCATGTTTAACTTCACAAGGTATTTGTCTACATTTAGTGTTTGAATAATAGATTAATGATACCTAGTCGTTTTCCAACACAATGCAATGATTTTTTTAAGGGAAAATTACACTTTTTACCCCAACACTTTACACTCAATCCCACTTTGCTCCCTAACTTTTTAATTGTCTTAGTCAACCCCTCAAATTTCTAGTGAAGCAGTAATTGAGCCTATTTATGTGACGCCATTTTGAAAACTAATGGACAACAAACACAGAATAGTATTGCTAGAGCTTTGAGGACCTTGTTGGTTATGACCTTGTGTTGTCAATCTCCACGCCAAGTCAACGGTTTAAGCCATGGTACCTTTCCCTTCTCAAATCACGTAATAGTATTGTTTATACTTTGTACCCCTACACTTTAACCAAAATCTCACTTTAGTCCCTCCCTACTCTAGTCCTTAACATCCTTGTGCTTTTACCAAAGTTTAACTTTAGTTCTTCCATCAATTTTTGAAATGATGTTATATGACTGGGCCTAAATGTAACTTGACTAGGAGTCTAGAGAGTTGACTAAGACAATTAAAAAGTCAGGGGGCAAAATGAGACTGAGTGTAAAGTATAGGAGCACAAAGTGTAATTTTTCTTTTTTTAAAATTTGTTTTTTGAATTTTTCTCAAGTAACCTAGGTTTAGGCCCTTCAATAAACATTAAGAGATTTGACTTTAGATTTACTAACTTATAGTTTATAAGATTTCTTTGGAAGTAATATTGATTTAAAAACATAACAACCTTAATTGTTATAACTAATTAACTATTAACTTGTGCTTCATTTTGTAATTAAATATGGTTCAGGCCAGTTTATTATTAAAACTTGTGTATACTTCTGTCCTCATCATGTTTTTAGTAGTTATATGTAATTTTTCCTTCTGAATAATGCATGAGTGGGTGCTTATTAGTTCATTGATTTGGCAATGCACCATTTGCAGATTTGGCTCAGAACGCAACATTGTTCGGTATGCAAAAATTGCAATGCAGCTAAAAGATAAGACAGTTCGAGATGTAGCACTCCGCTGTAGATGGTTGTCCGTAAGTCCCCCAAATATTAGAAAAAAACTTATTTGTTGACAGAATAGAATGTCTTCAGTACTCCACTTGGTACAAATCAATAAAGTTAACATCACTACCTTTGAGTAATCATGTTACCTCCATCACTGATGTGAGCACTTCATTTTCTTGGGAGTGGTGGTGGTTTAAATCGTTGAAATTGTGTTTGGTTTGATATCTTCATAGTACGAAAAGCATTATTGACTTGTCTTTAAACATGTTAACTTCTAAGTTCAATGATCCAAGAAGGGCAATGAGACTGAAAGATGGATTTACTTGCAAAATCTTATTTTTTACTGCATATATTTTATCCTTCTTGTTATGTATAAATGAAACATTAGAATGTTGAAGAGAGTATGAGAGCCAACACTTCTTATGAATTGCCTTCTGGGTTTCAAGATTTCAACCTCTTTACAGTATTCCAACCTTAAAATTTAAAAAGCCAAAGAACCCTCTTTTATGATATTGAAAACAACCATCAGGTATCAAGCACAAGGTTTTCAAAATGTGGACAAAAGGAGATGGCTATTTATTTACATGTGCAAAGAATAAATGTTTAAAGTAATACAATACTGAAAATAACGAAATGGAACTAAAGGTGTGGACAAAAGGAGATGGCTATTTATTTACATGTGCAAAGAATAAATGTTTAAAGTAATACAATACTGAAAATAAAGAAATGGAACTAAAGGGGCAAACTTGTTCGGAGTAGCATCCTATTTTCAGAGCTAGTGGATATTTGCAGCTTCTGACATTCATAGTTATGTGCTTATACCATTGACATTCATATTTATTTACATGTGCTTGTACCATTAAAGTGGATGGTTCATGGTGCACTTTTTTTGTTCATTATTGAAATGAAAACTCCTTATCTCTGATAATTCTTCAAAACTTATTAAAATATAATTCTACTTCCTAGTCAGCTGAAAATTAATGTAAGTTGTAATATTTTTTTCTACCATTGGCATTCTATTTGTGCTACTTCTTGTTTTCTAAGTGGTTGTAGGTCATCCATCTGAATTAAATTGCCATCTTGATCTCACATTTGGCCCACTATCTTTGTTATTTTCATGCTGAAGACATAGAGGTAACAAAATTCTCTGATGTCTGAATCTTTAATTTTATTCGTTAATATCTTTACTGGTTGTTTGGTCCAAGTGGTGCCTCGATAGCCCACTCAGCTTTAGATGGCATTTCTTCAAGAGTGTAGTCTGCAAGGTATAGAGGATACACATCCAAGCATCCATGGAGTTCCGTGCAGTGCCGATGGCCTTACCTTCATGTCACACCATCCATGGGGCTCCCAATCCCTAATGGAGACCCTAGACACCCTTCATGGATGCTCAAAGCTTGCCCTTGGGGTTGCCCACTTGCTTTGGTTGGGGAGGTTGGTGGGTGGCATTTCATAATCTCCTAATATAGCATTCTGAGTCATTAGTCAATTGCCATAAAGCAACATCGACCATACTTGAGGATTCATAATGAATATACCCCCTTAATATGACATTCCGAATCATTAGTCAATTGCCATGAAAGAACATCGACCGAGCTTGAGAGGAGTCCTAACAAATTTTAAAAATTTTGACAAATTTCCAAAACATCACCAAATTTAAAATCAAGAATCTAGACCATTATACCATGTTTTAGTAAAAATTTAAATTCAAAAGTCGATCGTTTGACCCGAAAAAATCAAATGCTAAATATTCAGCAAAACTGCCCTACATGGGCAGTCTACTGTGCATGTTGGCCCTGCTGCGAGCACCAGGTGTTGTTCATTTGTGCTGGGTGCTGCTCTCATGCGCTGAGACCCCTACTGGACTGCTGCTGCTGCTGCTGTTGGTGTTGTTGGCGCCCAGCCTTGGTCGCTAAGCTTGTATTGGTGTTGAAATTTCCAAGCCAACTGTGTACCCTTAGATGCTTGTCAATCTGCTTGGTTATACCTGAGTTAGTATAACTTGGAAGAGAGCTAGAGAAGTTAGCACATAAGAACTTTTAGAGTGAAACATTTAGAGCGAAGCTCTTGGAGAATGCTTGAGACTTGTATTCACTTGGTTTTCCTTGTATGGTTTGGGCAAATGGGGCCCTCCTCCTTATATAGGCTACAAAGAATGTTCTAGAATTCCAAGTGTTGAGAGTATTCTAGTCTAGATACTTCTCCTACCTCCTCCTAAAGAGTATTCTAGAATGTACAAGTATACTCCCTGCATATATAGAATTATGTGCAAGCCTCCAGATCTCTCTTCAAGACCCTACAAGAGAATTCTAGAGTTCCATAAACCTCTCAAGTCTTCAAGCACCTTCTAGAGTATTCCAATGAGGAATGCCACCCTAGATTGCAAGGCCACACTTCGCCATGCTTTAGCTGTATGGGATGTGCCTCAGAGGCTCCACCATTATGCCAAAATCGTCCATGGACACTCTAAAAGTCATGAGTGAGCAACATTCGGTGTCAGACTTGCAGCTCATTACGTGGAGCCACAACTTGTCCAATTTTTTGAAAATTACGGTTTCCATATAGTTATAATATATTTTCACTTTGCCCGCTTTGTAATTTTACATATGCCCAAAATTATGAAATATTCATTCAGTTTGGCCCCTCTAAAATCTTATTTGTTCCCCCAACAAAATTGTTGCAATTTGCCTCCTTTAAATATTTAGTTTAAGAAAAACCCCTTTTACATATATTCTCTGTATTTGGACTTCTCTCAATATTTTTTTCTCTTTTTCCCGTCTTTCTTCTTTGTATACACTCTTTTTCTTTTTCTTTTCCCAATCTCCTCCATCGCCGATTGAGAGAGTGAAGATGCTTATGTAGATTTTGTACTTTTGATCAATCCATGGAGAGGAAAGAAGCAATAAAGACCAAAGATTTGATCTGATTATAATCATCTTCTGATCATTTTTCGGTAAGTAACCCATTAAGAAACAAGTTGGACTTGTTTAATGAAAGTGAAAAGATTTCATTGGGATTCATGGGCATTCAAGATTTCACTTTATCATCTTTGATCAATTTTTTACCATTTATATTGTAGGTGGAATGTGTAGTGCATTGCACTCTTGTTTCAAGATATTTTTGCAAACACGCACACACACACACTTCTGTCTTTGCTGTGCTCTTATTATATATGTTTATATATTCCAAATTTCCAACCTGTAACAACTGGTTTTTCGAATTAAGAGGAAAATATTAAGCAGTTGGGCTGCCATGTCCTCGCTTTCATTAATTTGTTTTCACAGTTTGGATCACTTTGAATTCAATGTATATCTTATGCAAGAACTTGAGCTGAGATTGGGCTTACGATGGTGTTTAAATATCAAGTTGAACTTGTGCTGGGAATGAGTGTCTTGTTTAGAGGCTGAGCTCAAGCTCAACTTTGATTGGCTCAGGGTGGCATGTTTGACATCCCTAACTGTAAGAATTACATAAAAGGTTGTCAGTTTTTGGGGATTAAGAGAAGGAACTCTTGTATGATGTTCGAAGTAGGTGTTATTCACTTGTAAGCTGTTTGTACAACGTTATTTTGAATAAATTTGTTATTGTTAGTTTGAAACTATCCATGTTAGAAATCTACAGGCAACAATTTGCAACTTCCGAACCTAAAAAATGTTTATGGTAATTGTTAAATATTGAATGGTTTAGAAGGCTAAATATGCCATTGGAGGTTAGTTTTCGAACAAGGGTGGGAGACAAAACAAATTAGGTATAATTCTCTGGTGACAACTGGATTGGTTAAAGACTGAGGATTAGAGAAAACTTAATTGTGTGCTCTGATTATAACTGATTCTGCTTACTATTTAGTTAGCAATAGCCTTTTTTGGTACAACTGGTATAACTGTTTCCCTATGTTTTTCCAGAAAAAGGAAAATGGCAAACGAAGGAAGGATGATCATAATTCGTCAAGGAAAAGCAAGGACAAAAAGGTGTGCTCCTAAAAAATTGCTCATTGTTATCTGTGCTTTGCTATATGTGCATATCTAGGCTATGGATTTTTTGATAAGTAAACGCCAACAAAGGGTGCAACCCTGTACATCCCAAAGCCATCAAAATCACCTTAGAAAACGAAAAGTCTTTCTAAGCTACAAATACAAGAGGGCGAGCATCGTCCCTTTCAATCAAAGAACCGAACTCTCCAATTTTTTTAATATATATATATATATTTTCACAGAAAAATCTATTTCTCTCATCCCACAAACCCCACATAAGGCAAAATGGAGCAGCTTCCCATGTCTTCCTTAACCTACCCCACGTACAACCTTTGTTCCAAGAGTAAAATAACTCTCTGACCGATCCACATATCGCCCACTCTACTCCAAATGCTGAGAACACTGCACTGCACAACTCCCTGGCAACTGTGCAATGTGAAAGAAGATGATTCACACTCTCCCTCTCTCTTGCACATACAAAACCAGTCCAGCATGAATTTATCCTTCAATCTCAAATTATCCGTCCTTAGAATAGCTTCACGAGCCGCAATGACTACACTTATGTTCTTGATTGCTTCTCTTCTTTTTGAATCTGCATTGTCCTTCTCAATGAGCACTCCTTTCGATTTCTATGTTCATCTATATATTTGTGGACATTTGTGTTTTTTATGTAGAGGTGGATAGTGGCTGGGGCATGGCCTCTAAAATTTATTGTTTTTAAGAAAAATCAATCATGGAAATATAAAGAGGCCACGCTCCACCCCCATCAGTTTATCGACAAGGTGCGATAAGTGATCACTTTTAGTAGCTATGTAAATATTAATCTTAGGTTGGCGTTGCTTATCAAAAAATAAAAAAAACTTGGGTTGGTGTAGTGGTTCTTCAAAATTTATGATAGTGAACTATTGTTTACTTCTTTATTTGGAATGATGGCTCTTCCTTCACTAGAATTTATTAACAATCTCATGGTAGTCTGTACTGAATGCGCTTCGTTGTAGTCTAGAGGTTTTTGTTTGACTTGGGAGGTTATAATGGTCAATGGATTTGTATAATATATATAATAGCTTTCAAATGAACCCTATAGTGATAGGATCATATAATTCTTAATATCTTATACCAACTCAGCCATAGGGCCCATTTATATTATTGTTACTTCTAATGCATTCATTCTTGGCAAAGATAAGGCTTAAATTGTCAATATTTCGTACATTTCATTGTTGGCTTACTGGTAACTTTTGTGGATCTCTTTCTTTGATAACAGTGGTGCTGAATTCATTTCACTTTGAAAATTTTGGATGCTTGAACTCATGCTCATTGAAATTGTAACGAGTTGTTTATTATGTTGTGCATAAAATTAAAAAAACATCAAATGAAGTCCAATGGGTATGCTTTTAGAATATCATTGGTTTTAATTGCTTAAGAAAGAAATATCGTAAGCAGCCACTCGACTGAACCTTAAAAATAATCAATTTTGACTTTCCCATGGCTTCACCCTTTTTTATTACTTGCTTTTGGCGTGGGCAACAAGAACATGTGGAACTATATGGACTACATTAATGATATGGAATTTTGGGGCAGGCATACCCTTGTCCGTCGGTAGATGGTTTGCGCCATTTGTCTGATGTGGTTTGCTAGTCTAAAAAAAAATACCACATCAAAAAATCAGTTTTTAAAGACAGAAGATGGTTTTTCTTAATATAGCAAATTGGAATGTTTTATGCATTTGAAAAGTTAATGTTACTGCCTTTCCTCAAGTAATTATTCAGAAGGTAGCACTAAGGGATGGTCTTAGCTAGGGCCCATGGCCTGACCTGAAGCTTGGACACTGTCCCTTTTTGTTCCTTTCTTGGTCTTGCAGGACTCATGCAGCCCATCGGAGCACTGGATTCCCTGCTGTTAATTTTGTACAGCTGAGGCCCTTGAGCAACTTTTCAGGAAGGTGCTCTTGTCGAAAGTCATTCTGCAATTAGGCATTTTTATGGTCGAATATGTGTAGTTGCCATACTCATAAAAGGGAAAGAAATTCGATAAAATTGCTATATATCCAACAACACTGTCAAGGACGAAGATGAGTATATGCATGAAAGGAGCCAAAGGTTAATGTGTTGGAGCCATTGGTTTCACAATTATGCATGCAACTGACCTTTCAAGTTTCCAAATAGTATTGTTAATTTGTGCATGAGTTCATTCTTTTCAATTTGCATGCCTGCTCACAAAGTAGTTAGCTCACAGCTGTTGTTTCTAATCAAATTTGTCATACTTCAATCCATTGTATGTTTCTACCCAAAAGAATATTCACTCTTACATATGAAATACTGGTTGCTAATTTGGTTTTGATATTTTATTGTCTCAGGAAAAAGTTACAGATTCTATGGCAAAGTCAGTGTCTCATGCTGTAAACCGATCAAATGGTCCTCCATATGCTCAACCAGTGATCTCTGTGGATAGTGATGATGGGATCCCGTACAAAGGTTGGATAAAATCTCATCTATCTAATTAGTACACTAGTCCAAGGGCAATTGGTGATGAGGCAATATGTATACATATACATATAATGTATCTGAGTATTTATACATTTTTTAAGATATGAAAGTTTTGCATTAGATTGAAATTGTTATCTACTTTACTGAAGTTCCTGACATATCATGACCTTTATATGCCATTTTTGTTTTGAAATTGTACAAAGCTTTCCCTTAATATGATTTACAGTTATATTTGATGTTTGACAATAGAAAGCTGGACTTCTCAGTTTACACCACCAACATTTGAAATATGAAAAATGAAGAAACGGAAATGATGTAGATAATTTAAAATGACTCAAACGGTTGGGATTTTGAAGTTTGGGGTTGTTTTGAATAGTAAAGAATTTGTAAGAAGAGAGAACAACAATAATATGAGAAACAAGGTAGGGAAGGAACACCAAGATTCTATCTTAAAAAGTCGTTTCCCACAATGGTGGTGGTGGACTCATGGAACTTTTTTATTTATTTATTTTTTCAGACACAAAGCCCAACTCTTGAAAAATTATGATTGGCTTATGAAAATTGCATGAAATGACAAGCAATATGCACTTTGTATACATACCTTTCCAATAAATCATGTTGCTCATCATTTAAACTATGTGGCTTTTCCTTCACAACATTGGTAATGCAGGGTTACAAACACAAGTACACCTACTTCAGTCCTGAGTAGTTCAGTTCTTTTAGACCTGCAAGAGAAGAATTGGTTGATGAAAAACAAAATGTAGTTTCCCATGCAACAATCTTCATGGAGTTTCTGAATTGAATGAATGCTCTACCTATGAAAGTGGGGCAGTGAGTTGAGTACAGGCTGGTGAGGTTAAGAAAATGTACTCAGATTAGAGATGGACATGATGAATGTGAAAAAGGTGAAGTGTAGGAGTTGTCCACCTCCTTGGACAGATCTTGATTAAAGATCTAATCCTAATGTTGAAGGAATTTCTCGTTTCAAGTATGGAAACTAATAGAAAAACTGGATACTTACCCAAAAAAACTAACAGAAAAACTGGTAATTTTGTTACTTGATTCTTGAAACATTACAAGGGAGTCAACTTTATAGAGGCCTAAATAGATAATACCTCCCTAGGAACCGCTGACCATAGAAGACTAAAAATTTGACTGAAGAATTACCTTTGAAACAAGAAATTTGGCTACTTTTATTATTCATGACTTCTTAGACTCTTGACTAATGACTCTATTAATGATTTTTTTACTCTAAAGACTAGAATCTGGAATAATATTCATTTTTTTAATTGGATTTATTCCACTCTGCTCGAATGAACTTGGCTCCCGTAAGAGAAAAGTTTGATATCTGTTAAAGAGTTCAAGATTGAGGTGTTGAAAATCGACACAGTAATTCGTATGCTCTCTGAAATTGGTTTCCCCTCCCACTTAACTAGGAATTTCTGATAGCCCTTTCCTTGTTGTGACAAACGGTTCATCAACAACATCTTCAATTGTCTCTATTTTCCTAGATACCATAGGTAGCTTAGTTGCCTGTTCTATTGCATTCTGCTCCTCTTGCTTTCATAATAAGGGCTATGGTCCTCCACATGAAAGATACGACTAATGATAAGATTTTCCAGTAGCTCAAGTAAATAAGCATTTGGCCCAAGGCACCAAGCCTCTTCTCTACCTTGAAATCCAGCTTTCCTAGAATGAAGTTTTTGTTATGCCTCCTTTGGAAATTGTTTAGGTCATAGTTCAATTATGACATTATCATCCACTTGAAATCCATGAACCATCTGTGAACATTTGCCTGGGACTTGTACTGCTCATTATTGATTGCAATATTCTTTCTATGTTCTTCATGAATGGCTCGAGTGTGTCTTGCAAATTCCTCAGCTTCCTGGATGGGATCTAATATCAGCAGGGTGATACGCTATGCAGCTTTAAACCTATCGCTATCCCAAATGGGGACTTTCCTGTTGTCTGATTGACTGAAGCAAATTCTGGAGTAGGCAAAACCAAATGACAAGTTAGCACATTTTCTCCCACAAGACAGCATGGTAGGTTTCCCAGATTTCAGTTAATGACCTTTGTTTGACAGTCAGATCAACTTAGTTCCCAATGAACAAGTCTTCCAAAAATAATAAATTCATAATCACAATCAGAAATTAATCGTTTCTGGAAGACCATGTAATCTCACAACCTCATGAAAGAAGATCTGGCCAATTTTAAGATGCATTTGATGTGTTTTGGCAATCTAAGAAATGAGCCATTTTAGAGAATCTTACTGCAACCACAAATAGTGAATCAAACCCCCGCATTGTCCTTGAAAGTCCTAGGACAAAATCCATGTGAAGGTTTTCCCTAGGTGCTTTGAGTACAGGAAGGGGAGTGTAGTATTTTTTTGTTTTATCTTCAGAAATTCGACAAACACAACATTGTCGAGCCCAACATCTCTTTGAAGCTGTGGTCAATAGAATCAATCTTCCACTAGAGCAGTTGTCTTGTCTCTTCCAAAAATGTGCAGCAGGGCCTTGCAAATGTAGTTCCCAAACAATAGTCACTCATGGAAGTATTTGGTAAACACAATAGGTTGCCATAAAAGAGATACCCATCGTGGATACTAAAATCATGATGTTTGGCAAGTGCATTGCCTTTCAAATCCTTGTAGATAGGCCCAAAATAAGGATCACCCGAGTATTCTTTCTTTAGCTCTTGAGAACCAGTCACTTGCACGATTATATAAGTCAATAAAGCTACTTTGCGACTGAGAGCAATTGATACCTTGTTTTCCACTCCTGTGGGGGTTTTCTTGGGAAGGGGCTGTGGTTGTTTTAAGGAGTAATATGTCATTGATTGCGATGACTAATGCACACCCCCTCTCCATTTCTGTTGTTTTCCCCTCTCAATACGAGTTATGCAGTTATGATTATTGTTACAGTACCTATTTACCCAATTTTTTCCTTTGCAATATTTGCTGCATTAAAATCACAAAGTTTGATACATTGTCATTTGCAGTCATTGGTGGTGTGACTGGACAGCTTCTTGAGCAAAATGCCCAGGCTTTGGATCAAATTTCTGCAAATTTTACAGCTTTTACGGTAAACTGTTTTGTTTAAGCTAAAAAAAACACTAATAATCAACTAATATTCTTCAATAACCTTTGGTTTCTTGGTTTGTAATAAACATGCAAGTTGTTATCTGAAGAATTTATTTTTATGTGAGTCTTGCTTTCTCAATTATATGTTAGGGTATTTATTGCTTTATACAAAATAAGAGGGATATTTATATCTAGCCACTGGAAAATTTCCTTACAATGGACTGCTCTGGCATTTCGCTAGGTGCTGCATCAGTTTGATGCATTTTATCTAGGATTGGACAGAAATTATAGTCTGCTTTTGATAACATCTATGAATACTTTGCGATGAAATTTGTTTACAATGGTGGTCTCATGGGATTTCAATGCATTTATATTATTTTATGTAGGTGAGGACATTGATTTCTCTGTTGTACATTGCAATTGAGTTTTCAAGTGATGTGAATAGCCCAGCAGCCAGTTTCAATTTCCATAAACATCCAAACACCCCTGATAATTTTTATATTTTAGTAGTGTAAAGGGATGGTCTAGAATTTACATATCCTAGGTGATCACACGTTTTTTATGCGGAGAGTTGTTGATGTTTTATAAGGTGATGACTAAAGAATTTATCAAAAAAAAAAAAAAGAAAAAGAAAAAGGTCACCTAAGAATAAATGTTTACATGGGTTCTGAAATGTAGTTAGATGAACTGTTTCTATTATTTTAGACATTGTGCAGAAGACCTAAATGCTAAATCACAGACAATCTACTCAATGTGTTATTTATGGTATGAAAGATCTTTCTTGTGGGCCCATTAGTTGTAGATCTGATCCATGGTACATGTCTGAACTGCTAGTCAGCAAAGTACTCTTTGTTTGCCTTCTAATAAATTAACCTCATAGCAGCATCATATCCTTTTTACTTGGTGGTAGATTGATGATACCCTTTCTTGTTTCTTTTCTTGCAGATACATGAGAACATCAATCTGTTTTGCCAAGCTCGAAATAATATCCTCACAATCTTGAACGAGTATGTTTGATGCTATCTGTTCTTTATTTTGTCATTAGCAGCACAATCTTTTATTGCATGAGTTCTTACTTTCCACTTAAAACGCATGCCTACAAACATCATGGCCTTGTTTGGTTTGGCTTTGGGAAAAAGATTTTGGAGAATTTTTTTGAAAATTTTGTTTGGTTTGTAATTTTTCTCAAAAAATTTTCAAGATCACTCTCTCTCCTACACATCAATCAATCACTTTTTCTCTCTCCTCACTCCTTTTCAATCACTTTTTCTCACATACATTTACTCAATTACAACAAAATATCAAATTATCCCAAACTCCCAAACTATTTTCAAAATATACAATCAAACGAACTACAAAAATTTCTAAACTCTCTTCCCAAAATATTTTTTGAAAACTTATCTCCCAAAGTCAAACCAAACAAGGCCCATATCTTTAAATGTTATCTTTAGTTCACTTTTTTTTACTACAAGAAAGTTCACTACTTCTACTCACCATGATTATCATCACTTCTATTATGTCTTCGCTATATGTTCACATGGCTACTCATGTCATAGACCTTTTGGTGTAGAACACAGTAGGAAAGGAAGGGAAGAACACACAAAATGGCCACAACCTAATTCTCACAATATTATTATAAACAAATTTGAAAGAAGATGAATTGGCTGAGAAGTTGCATGCTCTCTAGCGTACGGTTCAGTCGATGCAGGGTCTCTTCATGTATGGAGACAATCAATCAGTTTTGTTTCTACCCGAACCACACACTGCCAGCAAAGTTCAAGATCCCTGATTTGCCAAGTTTGATGGCACGGGAAATTCCATTTTCCTTCCGAAGAATAAAAAGAAAAGCCCAATATTTATTGGCCGAAAACCCTACTTGAAATAGGAAACTAACCCTAATATTATTTGAAAACATAATAAAAAAAATCTCATTATTAACTATTTAATAATAATAATTTTCATCATCATCATCTACCAATTACAATTATTGGACCAAAAATTCTTCGGTCCATGCAATGGATCCATGGACTTCACCCTCGGCTTCCAAAGTGGATAATGGGCTACTAGCTAATCAAGGTTTGGCATCACTTTTTTTATTTTTATTTTGCAAGTTTACTCTGGGTCTTCTATATCTTTTGATGAACCATCTAAAAGGGTGAGATAGAGTATTTGTCATTAGCAAAAAAATTGTTACACATGGCAAGGATTTGGTTCAAAGTTTCTTACTCCATTATATAAGCTTGATGACAGAAAATACAAACAAGGACGATAAGGGCTCTCTTGAAGAGAACAAGGGAGTGGAAATGCACTAAAAGAACAAAAAAGTCATGGATGTCAAACCCCTCCGAAACAACTCACTAACAAAAATCTTCTTCTTGATTGCTTCTTTATTAACCCATCGTAGGGATTCTGGAGAACAGATCTGTAGTAATATAATATGTAGAATTCTTTTGTTTTTTTTCGTCAGGTGTAACCAAAGGTTATATTGATGCGATAAAAGACATGTATAATGTATTTGTGACTACAATTAGATCACCTACAAAAGATACTAGTGAGTTCCCAATCGCTATAGGGTTGCGTCAAGGATATGCTTTAGGTACTTACTTATTTGCCTTAGTCACAGACAAATTAATTGAACACATTTAGGATGACTTTTCATGGTGTATGTTGTTCGCTAATGATATCGTTCTAGTAGATGAAAACCAAGGAAGAAATTAACACTAATTTAGAAATCTAAAGAGGAGCATTCAAGTCAAAACGGTTTAAAATAAGTAGAATATAATTAAATATATGGAGTGTAACTTTAGTTACAGCAGAATTGGAAATAATGGAAAAATGAAGATTGAAAATAAGGAGATAACAAATAGTGAATCTTTTTTTTATTTGGGTTTGATTATTAATAAGGATGGTGGGGTTGGAGATGATGTGATTCATAAAATCAAAGTAGGTTGGCTCAAGTAGAGGAGTACGTCTGGCATATTATGTGATCTATGAATACTAACCTAATTGAAATGACAAGAATGTTGGGCAACTAAGAAACATGTGCATAAAATGAGTGTAGCTGAGATGAGAATGCTTAGATAGATGTGTAGAAGACTAGAGAGAATAAAATTAGAAATGAATATATTGGTGAAATGGTATGAGTAACACCTATCGCAAATAAGTAGAGAGAACATGTTTAGATGGTTTGGTCATGTACAACTATGACCTATAGATGCAACAGTAAGGGAGAGATAGGATTACCATAAATGGAGATGTTAGGGGGAAGGGAAGACCTAAGTTGATAGGGCTGAATGGCGAAAAGGGATTCATGTCGCCCACCCTACTTGATTGGGACACAAGGGTTAGTTTGGTTTGGCTAAGCAGTAATATTTAAAATTCATTGCAGAATGTTGGGACACCTTTATTGCATTAGGAAAAGGTACTGTGTCCAGTTAACCATAGTGAAAGAATAACCATTAATGATTTCGCTTCATATCCAGCCGTAAGATAAGAAAAATTTTGCTTGCTGTGAACTATCGCTGCTTAAATTTCACCAATCCCAATCAGACGAGGGCTTTATGCCTATTCATTCTTCTCCACCCATGTATCTGAATCATTTTAACCTACTTTTGGGTTCAGATCCGGCAATTCAGGAGAGTAACACTTCAGATTTGGCTCAGAAAATAATTGCATATTGACATATTCTTTATGCTACAATCTTATAGGAAATTCAATATCAAACGGGGACATTATGTGGTATAGAAAATTTAAAATATGCTGAAAGAAGTGAGAATGAGATTAAGTCATGGCTGCCATCAGGAGTTATTTGGCTAATTGGCTTGTATTCATACAGACACATCTTAATAGATCAAATTCAGCTGACTAATTTGAGAAGAAATGTCTGTAAACCAATAGCTACATATTTCTGTATTTTTACGTTAGTATAAAGGCATCCCTGATTGGTGGGCTTTGTGTCCTGGGTGTTAAACATGGAAATACTCTTTTTGCATTCCAGGTTAAGACTACATACATATTACCCTTCCTAGACCCCACAGTGGTGGGAGCCTCATGCATTGGGCTGCCTATCCGTAGAAGACGCTTGATGTTAGCATTACTAGTTGTATAATGACTATTTTTTCTTCTTGTAATTCAGTTTATTGTATATTTTCTTCTTTGTTGTCTTTTCTTGATCTTTGTCTTTCCTACTGCTGAGACTTGTGTGGGATCACTGTGGGAGCCAAAGAAGTATACTTCTCTTTTGTTTTTCACTTTCATTTTGTTGTGTACCTTTTATGACATGTGATTTTGAGGAGACAAATATTGAGAATTTGACCTCAATTGTTGTTTTTTGGATCATCTTTAATATTGATTTTTTTTTTTATTTGCTCGACATGCATGAAATTTTCATTGCAGTAGCATTACACTAATGAATAGAGTAATACATTTGTCATACATGCTAATTTGACAGTAATATTGCAGCTTGAATGACATGCCGGAAATTATGAAGCAGATGCCACCACTTCCAGTGAATCTGAATGAAGATCTTGCCAACTCCATCCTTGGTTGGTCATCCTTGCAGAAGAATTCATGATCCTCCTTTCTATGTGGGTTAATCTAATAATGCTTCCAACACTTCCACTTGAGTTGGGATCTTTTGTTGTAACATGAAAGTAGAATAAACTGGTTAATTAGGTATGAGTTCATTTTTCAGTTTGAAAATGCAAATTGAAGTGATTAGTATTTTCTGTATTTTAGATGATTATGGTATTGTTTTAGTCCTTCATTGTCTTTCTTTGTTTTGTGTTTTCTTGTTTTACTATGATCGAATTCTAGGAAGTAGTTTGTTTAGTATGTGAATAGTACTAGTTGTGTAAGCATAATTCTTCTTGACTCTGTAAATGATTTGAAGGAAAAATCAGTAAATCTTAGGTTTGCTGTTTCAATGGAATAAATGCAGTAAAAGAAAATTGTGTTCATGCAGTTCTTATTATAATTTTGCTTGAGGTAAAAATTGCATAATTTGAGATGAGTGAGACAATTTAGAAATTGAAGCTCAAAAAAGATTGCATTTTAGGGATTTAATTTAGCTTGATGAGTTACGTGTGGGTTGGTATAGTTATTTTTTTAATAATCGAGAATCCCTAGAGAGGGCCCTTTGAACCTACCGAAAGGTAAATTTGAGATTCAAAGGACATCCCTTATATGCCAATGAACTGGGCAAACAAGAGGGAACCTCATCAGTAACGTGGGGAGCATACAACATACCAACTTGGATGGCCCCTTAAGTTGTGTTTGGATCATTGATCTGGGTAAGATTTTGGAAAGAGGAAGAGAGAGAGAAAAAGTGAGTGTAATGTTTGTGAATTTTACCTACATTTCATCTGCTTCTTCTTTTTATTATTTTTATTTCCTTCTTAAATCTCAACCCAAACACAACCTTAGGGTGTGGGGGTGTAGTTTATGTCTTACATTAAAAACTAACAAATGCCAAAAAAGAAAGAGAGGCGATTTCCGGCGGCTCAAGAGGCAATTTCTGGCGTTGTTAGGGTTTCTCACCAAGGTGGTTTCCGGCGCTCTCTTAGGGGGGCTCTATCTCCCTCTTGATCACCTCTTTCTTTGGATCTCACCCCTTAGGGGGAGGGGGCTTTGCCAAGGTATGTTCTTAAACTGGTTGTGCTTTAAGCTGTCTTTGGTTTCATTTTTCCAGCGCCAAACTGATCTCCCCCTCCCCTTAGTCCCGATCTTTACTTACCTTAGAGCTGTGCTTTGTTAGTGTTGCTTTAGTAGATCCAAACTCTGCAACCTGCTCTTGTTTTCAGTAAATCGGTTCCAAGACTCATCATCAGTGTCTTGCTTTTCATTGGTGATTTGGGTTGTTTTGCTCTGATGGTTTAATTTCTATCTTTGTCTTATCAAATTGCTCTTGGATGTCCTTTTGCTGTGATTGTGGTGTTTGGTTCTCCTTCTGTGTTGTGATTTCTTTTGGGTATATTGCTTTATCTTCCTTCCCACTGTTGAGTGGTTTGTACTATGTTGAAAAAGGGTTTCCTTATCAACTCTAAGTCGGCCACTAGACGGCTATCAAAAGAAGAAAAAGGCAAGGTATTGCCATGAATGAAGACTTTAATCATAACAATTGGAGATGTTCATTGCCACCTGATATGTTTTCTCATTTAGACCCGCTTGAAATAGCTCTAATCAAGGATACTCTTGATGAGGATTTTAATTTTGATTGGGATTTGGCTATGCGGTATCTTAAAAATAGAGATTTAGATGGTTTAGATGTCAACATGTTTGCTTATGTCCTTTCCCCATAGCGAAGTACGTCAATGCCTTGGTCTAAACATTTTGGTGTTGATTTTGATTGGGGAAGCCCATCACGAAACCAAGATCCATTCGATGGTGGTAGTAGTAGCAGGATTGGAGGAGGTACACCGAGTGGCAGAGAGGGATTGGAGGGGGTACATCGAATGGTGCTAAGTTTAAAATGGAAGGCATGCGTAAGAAAAAAGTGAAATTGGGCAAGAACTTCCTCTTCATTGATCGTAACGTACGTCTAAATCTTAAAGATATTGATGCATTTCAGTTAATACACCCATAGAGTTTGCCAGTTGTTAAGGTTCAAACTAAAATGCCCTTTAAGACAGCCATGGAAGTTGACATATTGGATGTTTCAAATATTGAAGTTCAGCCTAGCACATCCATTTCTTGTGAAGATACACCTCCACAATATTAAACATCTCGAATTGTTCTAACCTTTTCTAGATCTGTGTTTGCTGTCCTTGTAGGGTTTGTTAATTTTGCGTGCGATTTCAGGATAAATTGCGTTTGCTAGCTGTGGTCATGGCTTTTAGTCTTAATTGTCTACTGTTTTTTATATTTTGTTGGGTTTCTTCAATCTGTAGATTATGGCTTGATATAACTATGTTATTTCTCTTTTAATATATATCATGTTTTACTTATCCTCAAAAGTATTTACTATTGTAGTAATGACATACTGATGATCAACATTTGTAATGGAAACTATTATGGGAACAACTTTTCTTACATATGTGAACCAAATGATAATAATAAAGGGTAGCTTTCCATTGCATTTCTACTATTGTCTGCCAAACAATAGCAGTATGAGCTTATGATATTTTTAGAGACCAACTTCTTTGGTTGTCAATACAGAATTTTTGGCTTACAGAATTATATAGTTAGTTTGCTTGCTTCTATATTTTTCTTCCTGTGTGAGAGAGTGCTACTATTATTAGTTCACCAAAGTTAACAGAAGGTGTTTCTGCGTTAACCGCTCAAAATCATCGTATCATGGGAGACAGAAGCTGACGTATCTCCAGCACCCACGGTGAGACGGATAATTTGTTTTAAGGAGACTGTAGTATCATAAAGGCTTCGGTTTGCTTCCTTTTGCTAATTTTATTTTATTATGTATTTCTGTTTAGTCTATTTATAATTTTTCAGCATGGAATTCAGATTGTTAATATATGAATCTATTTGTTTTTGTTTAATTACACAATATGTACAATAAACTTAAAACAAATTAGTTGTTTTTTTCAACAAATTAAACTAATAGCTTCATCTGAAATATTAGGAACACTGTTTTGCTTTTGTAAGTATATTTCCAAATTGATTTCTGGGTAGCCTATTGTGTCAGTATGTCTGGTGATTTTATGAATTCGGTAATATGTGCACTGGTTTTGTTCTTTGATTAGACTATTCCACTGTTTTGTGTTATATGAAAATTCATGATTAGGAATTGTAGCCCATTGTTACATATATAAAGAATTGTCTGCATTATTAGGAAATTATGTTGTTGATATAAAGAATTGTCTGCATTATTATCCAGCAAGTTCTTTAATTAAAAATACAACCTGAATAGAATCTGTTTGTTTCTGAACAACGGAAATTATTTCCTCGTTTGAGAAGCCCACTGTTTAATTGAGTTTGTGGTTTCATTGATATTTATTTAATTAAATAGGAAAAAAAATATATGTTATGCTCAGCATATTCTGGCATGATTTTTTTTTTTTGGGTGAAGCCCACTATATAGTGTTTATATGCATTGTCAGTTTCTATTTTTCAAGAAGTGTACGGTTTCGAGTTTATTATTTTATTTTAATTCCCTATCATGATTTTGCATGTCTTTTAATTTTATCTTATAATGTGCATGTTTATGGGTGTTGCAATTTTTGACATGCTACTTATTTTTTAGATTTTAGTTTATCTTACATGATTTAATGTCTAGAATTTTTTACATGTTAATCGCTATATTTATTTACATGATTATTGTGTTATAATTTCCTATAACTCTTGTCAATTAATTTTTAATTTAATTTTTAGAGTTATAAGGTTTGTAATTTATTTGGGAGTTATAAGTTTAATTGTACAACTTGTCTAGCTTTTTAATTTTACTTAATTTTGCTATTAAATTGATTTATTATTTTACAGTTTCTTTAGATTATTTGTTTTGTATTTTGTTGTGGTTTTTTGCTAACCTTCTTTACAGGAATACCTATGCAAAAGGAAATGGAAAAAATTAAAATCCAAATGAATAGTATTTGGGACTGTAAAACCACAATTATGGATTACTAACCATTGTGTTGAACAGAAATACCTAAGCGTGGAAAGAAATTTTTGAACTAATTGAAATCTTTATGGATTGGTTACTATCTTTATCATTGAAGCAACTTTCTGCTTAAGATTTAGAAATGATTACTTGCCAATTTTATTTTAAGCAAGGCTGTTAGCTTGGCATGTTGGAAGCATTTTATATGCGTGTAATTATTATAGCAATTTTTTACATTGCTTGTAATTTGGTTAGCAATTTTTAAATTGCTCGTAAGTTTGGACCTTGGTTTGTTTTAACCTAGTTTATCCATTGGAAAACTTAATTCTAAAAATTGTTTACCATAGACTAGGAGTCAACATGCTCTTGAAAGTTTTGTCTAAGGTTAAATGAGTTTTAAGTGGGACCGATGTGACCCCTCCAGTCTTCCTAAAAACATTCCTGACTATGTTCGATTCAAGGGAAGTGGTGAGACTAGTTTTGAATTAAAGTTCCAACTGTGGGATTTTCTAGTGTTAAGTTTAATTTACAGAAACACAGAAAGTGAAATTCTATCGTATTTTTCAAAAATGGCAATTGTTACTAATGCTGCTACTGCTAATGTTGGTAGGGATCAAAACCCCGGGACAACTAGCTTGCCAACCCCTTCTATTGTGACCTCTGTGGTCAACCTGGTTGTTGTGACCTTTGTGGTCAACCATGTTGCTACTCTTGCTATTCCGGTAGGCTCGCTCAACCATCATGAACACCCGGAAAAGTTCAAGGGAGTGAATTTCGAGAGGTGGCAGCAGAAGATGTTGTTCTACTTGACTACTCTAAGCCTTGCGAGGTTTTTGAATAAGGATCTAGCAGTTGTGGAAGAGAATGAAGACAAGCAGAAGCTCATGGCTCTAGATGCTTGGAAACAGTCAGACTTCCTTTGCCAAAACTATATTCTGAATGGCTTGGCAGATTCACTTTTCAACGTGTTTTATACCAACAAGTCGGCAAAGGAGCTGTGGGATGCTTTGGACAAGAAGTACAAGACCAAGGATGTTGGGGCAAAGAAATTTGTCATTGGTCAGTTTCTAGACTTCAAAATGGTGGACTCAAAAACTGTCATCAATCAGGTCCAAGCGTTCCAAGTAATTCTGCATGAGATTCATGCAGAGGAAATGTTCTTCAGTGAATTATTCCACGAAGCTATGTTAATTGAGCTTTAGATTTCTCTCTCTCTCTCTCTCTCTCTCTCTCTCTCTCTCTCACACACACACACACACAAACACACACACACACAATTTTTGTGCGAAGTGCTTGTTTTCTCTACACTTTTACATGCATTACCTTAACTAAAGTTGCTAGTCTTTGAGCTGAGGTAACTTGGGACCTTCTTTG